GCCGGTGACAACCGGGCAGACAACCCCTCGGAAAAGCCACAGGTCTAGTCTCTAGTCTCCAGGCGCCCCCCCGTTCCTCCCCCCGTTCCTCCCCCTCCGTGCTCAGTCAGGAGACTTTCATGTCTCTGATCATCCGTCTGACAGTAATTTATATATAAAGCTGGTTTGAAGCAACAGCAGTTGATCAAAGTGCTGTTATGTTGAATGTTCTGCCTGTTGCGTCAAACGACGCTTTCTGACAGAAATGTGTTTAATTACGTTTCATTAATTTTAAAGTCTTTAATTCACTGTTTCCCGATGCGACATATTTCATATTTTAATAAAAGTCCGATGGCACTGCATCAAACAAAAACGTCACAAAATCTGTAATAAAAATACAATGATGTAGTTTCTAGTTTACTCACAGTTTACTGACTCAGTACGAAACCGCTTATGTTTAGTTGAACCCGACCCTAAAATACTCAGGAATTGAATAAAGACACAAACAAAGATCTCTCTTTAGTTTTCATAGCTATCTGCTGCCACCCGGTGGCCCAGAATTGACAAATGTGACAAACAAAACAAAAAAAAAAAACTTTTTCAATAAGTTCAACCTAGGGCTCGAGGACCTCATTATGGACCACAATCCCTTGAGATTTTGACTTGAAATTTAATACTAATTTTCCAGGGTGACAAGGACCTGTACCCTAACGCTAAAAGTTAGTTTTAAAGCTAGCTTTCTGAGGATTTAACTGACTAGAACTTGGACTGAGGACTTGACATACTTTAGTTTAGTTAGGCTTCACCTGCAGTGAAGTTTAAAAAAAAAAGTTCACATTTTAACATAATTCTCAAAATAAAATAAAGTGTATTTATAGGTCTAAAAGGAAACAGAGACCTGGAAAAGTCTTCTTCTTCTTCTTTTTTTCTCTACACTGAGTCTTATTTACACTCTGCAGGCATCGAGCTCATGATTGTGTGATCTGTAAAATGAGGCGCTTCACAAAGACTCGTGGACACTTGACGTCTGAGAGGCCGTGTCATCGAAACACTCGACGGCCCATCGTGTAGAGGTTGTTTTCAATGTCAAAAAGCCGATCCTGTGACGAGCACCATTAAATATTTAGAAGTGTTGATAGTGGAACCGGAGAGCGTTCCCGTTCCTCCGCTGCCGGGATGGAAGAGAGTCGCTCTTAAAGAGGCCTTGTGGACAAGTGCTGTTAATTTTCTCCTGCCGTATCTTGTACCTTCACTTTCCCCCTGATTGGACTCCAAGTGCCTTCACTCTTGGTTTGTGTGTTCGTGACACAAACACAAGCTGAAGAGCAGCCATCAGAAACATTTTGTTATTCATTTCAGCGTGTCACAACAGACACGGAACTATTAATGACAGGCCAGATGGCTGTTAATCATCCGTCTGAATCACTTCACCAAAATGTGATGATTTTTTTATTTTATTTTTTTATTTACCAGATTGTTTGATGAGTCTTCTGGTTAGCAAAAATTAATCAGACTCCACAGAATTTTGACAAATAATTAGTCTCTTACAACACCCTGTATATTCTGACCTAATTTAGAAAAATATATGAGTAAAAAAATAGATTATTAACACATTCATCACGAAATAGACAATGGTCCAAAAATATATATAAGGTTTAGTAAGTTTCTCTGCTAAAGATTATATGAACATTAGCAAACAAAGAGCTAATTTTAGCCACAATTTGTTTTGAAAAGTTAGCTAACTAGCTAACTTAAACTAAGTGTAAAAGCGGCTAAAAGTCAAGCAAAAAAATAAGAAATAACCACAACTGATTTTGTAAATATTTATGTACCCAACTGATA